CCCCAAAACCCCAAAACCCCAAAACCCCGTAAGTTGATAAAGCGATTGAATGGGTTTCATAATAATTAACTTTAATGAATTCAGAATCTCAAATAAAACCATTTATTCCCAGCAAAGATATTTGGAGCGATGACTTGGTGTCTTGTGAAGACACAGATGATTGCTCACCACAGGTTCCTAAAATTACCCACCAGTTCTCGAATACTTTGAAAACTAACAAGGGGAAATCTAATAAAGAAGATTTTAATTTGAACTGATTACTCTAAAGGTGAATGGAAACGGCGATTCCCAAGACAGCAGATCTAAGCAAGCTTCTTCACTTGCAGATTCATCTCCTTTAGAGATCTGAATTTCTCGAGCAAAGAAATCCAAAGCAAAGACTTATATTAGAAGTTCTCAGAAGCGATACTTGAACGACAAGGAGGTAAAATTGTTGAGAAAGATTTCCTCAAGTGAGATCCTTAAGATGTTGTTAACTTAAAACCAAATCGATCAGCAGCCAGAGGTCTACTCAATAAACATTAATACTTCCTTGAAATAACAATTTAATAAACAGCCAGGTTTTCTTAGCTTAGGATACAATCCTTTCTGAGGGTTGGTGCCTTCAGGGTTATTAAGAGGTATTTTACTACCATTGGGACACAAAAATGTGCTATAATGTATAGCTGATTATGCTTAGAACTAACTCAAAAATTTCTAACTTAGAGGTATAGGATTAGCCGGGGTATAACACCTGTTTATAGGCTTCTTGAAGCTTAGTAGGCACTCTTCTTCATACTTAATAATTACTCCATACTGATGTTATGAAAATAGAAATTTCCAGAGATAATAGCTATTAAAAACTTGAAAAATTGTATCGATTTCAGCAGATTTTTCAAATTTACCATCCTATAATAGTACAAAGTTTGATAAACTTATAGCATGAGTTTTGGTAACCTATTGGAAGCTCTCCCTCATTTTCAGTTCACAATTTTATTCAATACAATATCGAAAGCTCCTTGAAAGATAATTGAGAAAACTAAGAAGGAGACTTATGATAATATTGCCCAGACCTCTAGGCCCTCAATATAATTCCATGACCATACTTCAACTTCTAAATTTTTGGTTATCCAAACTCCTAGCATATTACCAAGAGATTTTAATAATATGAGGTCCTCCCTAAATATGAATTTCTGTCAAGAGGTGCCGGACCACAGCTTGGAGATACTAGTAGTTATAATGCTTTAAACATCACAAAGTGGAACGTAAGAGCCTAATAGTGGTAGGGCTTCAGAAGAGAATCTATAAATAGGGAAATCGAGTTATAAATAAACGTTTTCATTTCTGGTGAAATTTGAGAGGTGTTCCAATCGTTATTTGAAACCTATACCGACTCATTAGGCAAGACCAATGAGGCTTAAGAGAAATTTGGAAAGCACAGGATATTATGGATTTGCCAAATTTTATAATAATGAGTGTAATATTTTTTGAAGCACCATAAATAGTATCTTCCAAACTTAAGACTTTAATTTCTAAAGTTTCAGTTATAGCTTATTCATTACCTGAATAATAATACTCTCTATGACGAATGGAGAGATCTTTGAGTCAGAATAAAGTTATAATGTGTTGTATATTCTTAGAACACAAGGGGATCTCAGGCAACTCTCATAGACAGTTCTCAACTTTTGGTATTATTAAATTTTTTGTGTAAACCATTTTCTTGAAGAATAATGGTGACAAATTCCATCCACCTCACATTAATAAACATTACCCAATTGAAGAAGACTTAGATAGAGAAAGTACTTTATTCAATAAAAGACTCACCGTTCTTTTGCTGTTGCTATATCTATATAAACATATCGCATAATTTGGATTCTTTCATACCATAAAACTCCAACTTTCCTCCTTAAATCACACAAAACCTAACAATTTCCTTCAGGCTGAACATCTAGCTCTCCACTATAACCACCCAGAAGCCTACCACATAAGCCTCCTACTGTTATCTTTCTCACCCTCCTCCCCTCCACTTCCCCAAAACCCCCTTCTAAAACCCCAAAAATCCAAAAAATCCCAACTTCAGCCTCCAAAACCACCCAAATTTCCCATTTCTTCCATAAATTTTCCCAAAAATCCCAACTGTGCCGCACAAATTCTCAAAATTAGTACAATTCCTTCCCAAAATTCTGAATATTTTAAGTGAGATTTCAACTGGAAAGTTAATGTTAGGGGTTTTGGGGTTTTGGGGTTTTGGGG